CATTTCAGTTTTCGATTTTAAGTAACATAGTAAAAATTTGTTTTTATGTCGACATTTTGAGATGAGATCAGATCGTTTATTTAGTAATTTATTTTGGTCTGGGAAGGTAATAATGCAGCACTTACACACATATATATATAAATAGTCGAGAAAAATCCAACATACGCGGCCTGACGATTGCCCCTAGCATGAAACAGCCTGTCACCTCGGAGTGTTGACTTCAATGTTCACTTTTATATTTATATTTGGATATTTCTAATATTGAGCACTTTATCCCATAAATATAGCACACCTTAGAACTATATTTCTTCATATATATATATATATATGTTTTGAAAAATAGAAAATATTAAAAAATTAAAATGTTCAGACACAGTGGGTTGTATATTAATATTTTTCGTTTTTATTATTTCAGTTAGATTCTTCCACTAGTTTCGACCAACATGGCGATCATCAGGAGAAAAAAATTCTGTTTGTTAGTTTATGATTTTATAGTCTTATACTTAAAGCGTTTCTCGATCCACTAGAACAAAATATTAATTTTTATGCTTTTCCTAACGTTTTTTTCCCATTGTTAATTTGTAAGTATCAACAATTGCTGAGTCTGTAGTCATGGGACGCCTACCGGAAATAGATATTTAATAAGGCTAGCTGCAAGTGTTCTCTTACATCTTAAGTTTTGTAAATCAAGATTGCAGTTGGCTTGTTAATTTGACCATAAGCATCAGTTTTAGTGGAGAGTATGCTATAAATAGAATGTTCGGGAAAAAACATCTATTTCGAATACACTGAGACCGTCACATGATTAATCGCCTCTCGGACTGCTTTTTTTTTCATTATTTATTTTTATGTGGCAAAATATCGCGTGCAAAGTTACATGGGGAATAATGTGAAGTGGGCTAAGGCGCTTTGCACTAGATTGTTCATTATTTTCGTTAATAGTAAATGACTTCCGACTTAGTGGCATCATTTCCTTTCTTGGGGTGAAATGATAAGAAATGGATAAATGCGTTCTTGAAAAACTAATATCTATCTCTCTATGGATTTTTTAAAACTTTCAACCCACATTTTGATTACTTCAAACATTATATTTATGGTTTAATAGACGTCTCGATATTTTTATTTCAAACAGTGTGTATTACGTCTCTCGGCATGGGGACTCTAGGAACCTTAGTAACGAAAATGTGCTCACTGACGTCACCCTAGGAGAAGACATCGTTTGATCCGGCACGCTTTCGATCGCTAAGGTGCAAACTTCAACAACCTTGCCGGCCTGTGACGCTCTCTGTGATCGAACGGTCTAAAGCCCGCTGCATCAAATCGTGGTTTCTCCTACAAAGAAGGACGTCGTTTCGAACAATGCCGGAGAACACCTTTTCTTTATTACTCGTGTATGCCGGCTGAAAGACGTAATACACACTGTTTAAAACATAAAAATGAAACGTCTATTTCAAACACGAGTATCCACTAAAATAACGCTTGAAACAATATATATATATATATATTTCAGAAAGGTTAAGATAAACTAAACTAAGATAAACTACTTGCTTTCATAATAAATTCGGCTTCTTCATGTATCGTGTCCTCTAAAGACGTAGACGATTATGGCTATCCACAACAAGAGAGAGAGAGAGAGAGAGAGAGAGAGAGAGAGAGAGAGAGAGAGTACAGAATTCAGTGCCGTTTTTGCATAAATATTTACTTGAAAATGATTTTCTGATTGGCAATTTTTGAATAAATATCGTAGAAAAACTAGTTTCTTAAAAGAAACCTCAGTAGTTTTAACTAATGTTAAGGTATCAAGTACAAACAGAATGTAACCTAAAATGTCTTGTCAGATTTACTGATGCTCTATCCTCCTTTACAAAACATAAACATCCCCAGTCCAGTAATTTCCTAATAGTTATGATTCAGCATTTGATCTTCTTCATAACTTTGTTTAGTCTAAAAGGAATTACACCCTTGCGCAAATTAACTAAAACAACCGCTTCAGTTTTCTTTCTTTCACCCTTCTGTCAGTTTTAGACTCACTGCAGTGACAGGGTATAATCGATTTCTATTTTTCCTCAGATTAGGTCATTTGCAATGATGTGCAGTATTATGAATCTATTTTCGTGGTGTATGATGAAATTTTTTTGGCCTTGAAAAATATTGTGTTATCCGTGATTGCATCAGAAACTATTGCTCGACTATCGATTATTTGTCCTATGGCTATTGTCTGCGATGGACGTTACTACAAGGAAGCATACGAAAATTGTAACAACGCACAAACACACTGGCAAACCTTACCAATGAGCAAATCAAAGTGCTATAGGCTGGCTTGGAAACTCTCCTGATTTAAATCCAATCGAGAATCTGTTGTCCATCTGCAAGGAACGACTTCGTAGAATGGGCATACGAAGTAGTAATATGTGCACTGGGTCACGTTTCATTGGAAAAAAATACATACAAAAAAGTAGAAAATAATGGAATTATTCGTTTTGTTTCAATTAATTTTCACAAGGGTGTACGTCCTGTATTTTTTCTGCTTATTTGTTTAAAAATGTACTTAACTTCAATAGCTTTGTGACAGTTTAAAATAACATCCAGACTTTAAAATATGAATAAACCCTAACATATAATCTTCTTTTTTATATACTATGGCCTTTCCGAACGTAGAAGAGTATAGTTCTCCACAGCTTCTTTTTGTTGCTGTCAATAATTTTGATTGCTTTTTCATGCCTTTTTGTTCTTGCTCTACCGTCCATTCATTCAAACTGGTTAAACAACTTACTCGCCTTTCCACCTGCTTCTTCTATGTGTCGTTTTTATTCAGGACGTAGGCGGTCATGGCTCTAAACAATTTCCTGTAGCTTAATAAATATTGTCTTTTTATTATCTCTCCTAGACCTACCTTGTATCGACGTCCATTTACTCGAACTTGTTAGGTACATTATGCGTTGTTTTCATTTGTCCCTCTTGCCTTTAATATGTCAAGCACGTTTAAAATTGTCCAAGCTCTCTTTCTTCATTATGCGTCCTAGAAATGTTAGCTGTATCTTTCTGATGTTAAGTATAAGGTCCTCTTTGTTTCCATTTTCTCTAACACTTTTTTACGCTGCTCGCATGTTCGATACACGTTATTCTCAGCATCCTTCTGTCGAACCAAATTTCTGTTGCTTCAAGTCATCTTGTTCGGTATTCACTGCCATATAGGAGGACTGATATTGCATAACAGTTCAGTACTTTAGCTTATCTATATGTCCAGTAAGTGCCTTATTTATTCATGCCTTAATTCAAATGTCCCAGAAATTTCACTTACCTCATCCTAATTGTACTGGTTCCTATTTCAACCGAGTTCCAATTCCAATCGAGTTCGTTGTATTCATTTACGCGCAAAGGTATGAAAAGTATGGGAAAGGTATGAATCCACCTCTTTTGTCCCTCCAGCTATGAGTTAATTAATAGGACTTGTATCAGTAAATCGTTATTTTCTTCAAACATTTTTACAGTCTAAAAATAGTTTATAGCTTTAAATAACCTGAAAAAGGTTGATAGCCCATAAAAAACAAATGGGTCAATATAGGTTTCTTGGTAGTTATTATTTTCTTTAAAACTTCATCTCTCACAGTTTCTGTTCATTGTCTAATCTATATTCGATTGTAGAATCATATTCTCTCACTTCAAGCTATTTCTTTATCAGTGAGGAGATGCTTTGACATCTACTCACATATAAGACATTTGACATTACGTAAAAGTAATAATAATAATAAAGAAATTGATTGACGTAACTATTCCAATATTTTTGAACATTTAGAGAAGAGCGTGATTTAAGAAAAGAAACGAATGTTTAACAATGTTCAACAGTATTTCAACAGTATGTTTGTCTTCTTTCAAGTTGTTTAAAAATGCATACAAGTACACATTTTTTTAAAAGGCATACAAAAGATATATTTATACTTGTATATCATTTTTAAATACAGTAGAATCCCTCATATCGGTAATCCCTCATATTCGGAATCCCTCATATCCGGAATCCCTTCTATACAGACATGATTTTGATGTGTATATTTAAACTATTTGGGTGATATGTAACCGATTTGAAATTTCTGTTTTTCAGAACATTTACTTTGTATAATTGCTTATGCTTATTTCATCCTAATGGCTTGTATTGGTGAAAAAGATGGTGGAAAAGGGAGGAAAATAACAACTTTGAAGTTATCGCAAATAGTGTAAATTTTAAATAGACTATACTCTGATGAAAGTTCATAGTAACTAATGGCAGAGTTTAACATAGGAAAGTCAACATTGTATGATATAAAATCTTCCAAAGAAACTATTCTCCAGTCACAATGACACAATGAACAAGGAAATAAAAAAAAAACATGATTGTGATGAAACCGGGACTGAAATTGAAAAAGCTATTGAAAAGGTTGTCAGTTTTATGAAAAGTCAGTTTCAGCTATGACGATTGCAATAACGCACAGTAAAAAGTATCTTTCGTTTAAAAAATTTCAAGAGCAAAAGCAAAACGAAATACGGAAAAAGTTCCTATTTTCGCCATCTCATATTTCGATTAAATTTAACTGAGCGATACTCACCCTAGAGAAACCTTGAAATGTAATCTTCATTAGGCCAACAGATCAGAAATTATGGCCTCTTGCAATTTGCTTGGATTTTCATGTTGTGAGTCGGCAGTTTGAATTGTACACTTTGGCATTTCAAAGGATTGCATCCTGAGAAGATATTTAACTGAAATTTGGTATCCTGAATATCTGATGCATAAAAAATGTAGTTACACTTTAACACTATGCAACGTAGTTTTACAGTTGTAGGCTCTTTAAAATGGAACAAAATTGCTATTTAGTGTTTTTGTGTGTGATTTGCCACAGGTGTCAGATGAAAAGTCGACTTGGATAGAATCATTTGATATATTGCTTTGTGTAAAACATTGAAACACTGGAAGCAAAATGTGAATCGAGGATGTACTGAAGTAGTTAAATTATGCTGCCAATTTTCAGAATGAAAATCTAAATAAATTTCAATTAATATCTATCTATCTATCTATCTATCTATCTATCTATCTATCTATCTATCTGAAGTCGGAATGGTGTGTCAGGACCAATAACATTGCGAATTCTTCTTTGGGTTTTATCAAGAATCTCTAAATATGTAACAGGAGCATCAGACCATATGGTAGACTTATAAATAAGTAAGAGATTCTGGAGAGAATAACTCTTGCACGACACGATGAACCAATTTTCTTACCAGAAAACCTTGCAACTGAGTCACTATAATCTTTCCACTTGACGTTAGTAAAGAATATCTATCTATCTATCTATCTCATCTATCTATCTATCTATCTATCTATCTATCTCACGCTATTCATTTATCTCTCTCTCTCTCTCTATATATATATATATATATATATATATATATATATATAAATAAATGTGTTCATATATATTTTCAATATTTTCATCTATCTATCTATCTATCTATCTATCTATCTATCTATCTATCTATCTATCTCAGTTCAGTCTATTCAAATCTGTCTATCTATCCCAGACTATTTATTTATTTCTATCTCTCCATCTCTCTCTCTCTCTCTCTCTCTCTCTATATATATATATATATATATATATATATATATATATATATATATATATCAAATCAATATTATGCAGGAGCAGGCGAAGATGATGTAATTTAAAAAAAAAACTTTGTTATTTGCTTAGATGTCAATTAAATAAAAAATATATAAAGATTATGTTTGCCGTCGCAATCTATCTATCTATCTATCTATCTCTATCTATCTATCTATTCATCTATCTATCTCTATATATATATATATATATATATATATATATATATATATAATAAATTCACTCTGAGAAAGACAAAAAACAAACATTGTGACACTGTCAGTTACTGAGTGTATAGTATATGAGAAAAATAAACTTTATTAAGGAGCAAGAACGATAAAAGAACAGAAATTAATATGGCAGAAGAAACATTTTTAATCATTAAAAATAGCAACTAAGACAAAAGGGTTAATAAGTGTGAAAGAATAAGAAATAGAAAAGCATTTTTAAGGAGAGAGAACGATACAAGAAGAAGCATCAAGACGACTGTATATAAAGACTGAAAGTGCATTTAAACTTGTGAAAATCAAGGTTTACTAGAGTGGGTTAAAAAAAAAGTTCCCAGTGATCTCGAAACTCGAATGCTGCGTGTCTTGGCTCGCTACCGTCTTTTTCCACAAAGAAAAACTTGTCAGTCACTAGCCATGTTAATGGGTCGACCGCAAAGATCTCGGTTGACCAGTTTTATTGGGACTTATACGCCCAAATCACAAGTAAACTGGACAACACTAAAATGTCCATGAATAGCAAGCGACAAGAAAACAGATTCTATTTGTGAGATGCTGAGGTGGCACAGTGGGATAATAGGTAGCGGTTCGGATTGAGAAATCGCTGAGCCAAATTCGAATTCCAGTCGAATCCACGTGTTACGTACTAATACCCTTGGGAAAGGTATGAATCCTCTTCTCTCCTAGCTATGGCTAAATAGCAGGACAGACCGCAGAAAGAAAGGGCAACCTACTGCAGGAAAAAAAATCTGCCTCATCAGTCATGTATCGAAAGATAAATGATTGCCTAAACGTGTATCACGCATGGCATATAACTGGCTGTTAACGTTATGAAATTTCAAGAAAAACCAAAACAAATGTCTGGATTTCTAGAAAAGCAACTTGACCCACTGACATTTCTATTAAGGCTGGAGGATGAGTGTGTATGGAAAAGGCATGTGGTTCATATACACATGAATATTCCAACTGAATCGGATACTTGCCAACCAACCAAGGAGAACTCAGGCACGTACTTTGAAGGGGCACGCAGCATCGACTACACAGATTCGTGTACCTAGCAGAGACCGACCTGGGGACAATCTAGAAGTTTCTGAAAGCTCAATATAGGGTTTAGAGGTGCGCTGATAGACGTAGTTAATGTGAAGTTTTGCACCCCCTCACCACCCAACAATAAACAAACCCAAAACAAGTACCCCGAATATTGTCATGTTGTATACGATGGTCATACAGTTTACTTTTACTCAAGGCGTCTTATTGCTGAGTGAGTAATTGTCAGGAGTGGTTTTGTTCCCATAGGGTCCATCTAGTTATTTCCCAAGGGCCCATTAGTTATTTTTCAACTCACGCAAAAACCGTGTACCTGGTTCATGAGATGCAAAAAATGGATATGTAGATATCGTATTTGTCGTATTGTCTGGTCTTTTTTTAGAATAACTTACTTTTTCTTCACCACCACGTCTTCGTACACTGCATATTTATAATTTCTCAAATCTCGTGGTCGCCGTGATTTTGCGTCAATTTTCAGCATAAAAACAATATGGCTTCCCCACGAGATTCTTTTTACGTACGTCCATAAGATGTTTTCTTTTTTTTTTCCAACTACAGGATATCTTCCGGACAAAACACATATATGTAAGGAAGTTTGATTATAACATTCAAAAGGTGAGATAACAAAGTCAAAGCGGATAATTGCTCAAATGACGTGAAGGAATACAATAATGACTCCGCAAATCCATTAAACTTTGTTGCTGTAGAAGTCACAATAGTATTCCTTTCGTAAAATTTGCAGATTTCAATGTTATTTCGAGACAAACATCTGTCCATTTGATTTTCGTTTTAGAAAAATTAAAGGAAAAAACCTTTTGTGATGTCAACAAACACACGTTGATACTTTTGTAATGCTAAAGAATACTCATTGTCGCTTTTGTAAAGATCTTTGTAGGAGAGACTTTGTTATCGCAGATACAACTATCGTAATGCAGTTAAACAATACTGATGTCAGGCACATTTGAATGACACTTGCACTAATAGTAATTGCTTGATAATACTCGCTCGAAAAGTAGCCACCGAATACTGATCCCAATCGAGAAATAGTATAGTGAATAAAGTAGAGAATAGCAGTCCGTATAGTAATAGAGGATAGAGAAGAAACAGGGATCGATTAGACGTCAGGTTACCGCCTATATATGCGTTTCCTCTATGGTCACGTGATCGACTTAATTCAATAATGGGATCGCATGTGTTTACACATTGGCGATCTGTGTTCAACCTCAAGTCTCGGTTTCGATACTTTATTCCTATATAAAAAAACATTTTTAAGAAATCGTGATAAGTATTTTTCGGTCTACTTAACTGTTCGCCATAAATAATTACAAACGGATATACATTTAAAAAAAATGTCCTATCCCAAAATTTACAGATCCTGCTTAAAAAACAGCGCTTCAAAGGACTAACATCATTGTGGTTGCTTAACCCAATTTTGTCAATTAAATGCTTGAAAAAGAAATAATTGCACCGATAATAAATGGAAATATCAAAAGGAATAAATAATGCTACTCTAGCCAGAATATTAACATAAAAGTTATTATTGACCATTGGATATTATAGTGAATGTTGCAATTGATGACTGGTTGGAATTTATGTCGCATTCTTATATTACTTGTCATTGATGCCAGTTGCATATAATAGATATATGCAGGATGCCAGATTATCATAGTGTACGTTGCTCGATGACTGGTTATTAAAGGTTTTGATGTCATTAATTTTGGGCTATTATTTTTTCTGTTGTCAGTGATGAGGGGCTTTTTTATATTCTATGTTGTCTGATACAGGGCTATTATATGTCCTGTTGGCATTAATATGAAGTATTATAGGTTCTGTTGTCATAAAAGTCGAGCTATTATTGTTTCTGTTGTCAGTGATAAGAGGCTGTTATATTTTATGTTACCTGTTAAAGGGCTTTTATAGATTCTGTTGTCTTTAATGTCGGGCTATTATTTTTCAGTTGTCAGTGACGAGAGACATATTTCATGTCATCTGATAACGGGCTCATAGATTTTGCTGTCATTATTGTCGAGCTATTATTTTTCTGTTGTCAGTGACGAGAGACTTATATTTTATGTTATCTGATACCAGGCTCTTATAGATTCTGTTGTCATTAATGTCGGCGATTATTTTTTCTGATGTCAGTAATGAGAGCCTGTTATATTTTATGTTATCTGATAATGAGCTCTTATAGATTCTGTTGTCATTAATGTTGGGTTATTATTGTTTCCGATGTCATTGATGCCAGGCTGTTATAGTTTTTATTTAAAAAAAACAAAAAAACAACCTCCCCCAAAAAACAAACAAACAAACAAACAAAAAACAGATTAACACAGATTATGTTGTCCTGATATCGGCTTATTATGTGTTCTATTGGCATTAATGTTGGGATATTTTAGTTTCGGTTGTCATTAATGTTGGACTATTATTGTTTCTGTATTCAGTGGTGAAGGGCTGTTATATTTTATGTTGTCTGATACAGGGTTATTTATAGTTTCTGTTGTCATTAAGGTCTAGCTATTATATTTTCAGTTGTCATTGATTTCGGCCTGTTATAATTTTGTCATTGATATTCTCTTTTCGTTTCTGTCATCATTGATGTTCACTGTCGTTATAATAATTATAATGTTTATTATTATTCTGTTATTGATATCAGGCTGATATATTTTATGCTATAACAGAGGCTGGGATATTATAAATTATGTTGATATTGATGTCTGGTCGAGTTTATGTTGTCATTGATGATGAATTTTAATTATGTTGACAATAATATTGCATATCACCATCGATGCTTTACTTTAATTGTACATGTGAGTCTGTTAAATTGTTAGGATGTTCGACTTTTATCTTTAGGTTCTTAATAATGCTTGGCTTTATATTTTATACTGTCACTGAATGCCGTGTTCCTTAACTTTATTTTGTCCCTAATGTTAATCTTTTATTATTTATGATTTTGCTGACGTCACGCTGTTATTATTATTTGTTGTAACCTAGGGAAGGTTACTAAATAAAATAATCATACGAAAGTTGGCAATGAACGATAATACTTAGGACAAGGACAACACATATAAGATTCGCCAGCAGCGCGTAGAAGAAGCAGTCAACTGCTAGAAGTGAGTCAAGTGAATTCTACATATTAGCGAAAGTATGTCAAATCTAACTACATTTTTTTCCTGTCAAGGAGGACGCAGGTTTAAATCCTGTCGGGGACAGCATATTTTTCTTTAATAAGATTTCTACAATATTCTGGCTGGTAGACAAAAATAAATAAATATACTGTTTAATAAATAAACGGAGCGTCTACTCAGATATAGATATCGATTAGAAATAACGTTTAACGTGTTAAAAATATTTCGGATCAATAAATAAAACTTCATTATATATATATATATATATATATATATATATATATATATATATATATATATATATATATACGACGTGTTTCGCTCTCTGAGGTCCTTTATCGAGGGAAATGCAAGGATTTTATTTTGTAACTAGTATTTAAACACAAGAGCATAAATGTTATTGGTTTGACAAAAAAAAAAAAAAAAAATTAAGAAAGGTTATAAATATTCATCAGGATAGCCGAAACGTCTAAGCAAGTTATGGAGGACGCAAGTGACTGAACTCAATGTCTATCATAGTCTGTCTGAAATTTTACACACAAAAACACGCACTCCCCAAACATCCTCACGCAAATACAAACACAAACACACACACACGCGCGCACACACACACACACACACATATATATATATATATATATATATATATATATATATATATATATATATATATATATATATAAAAAGAAGATACAGGGGTCATAAAAAGATAAGGACGAAGCCCGACTTCCTTTGCTGTTTCTCTGACCAATCAATTTTTTTATTCTTTTTTATTCTATATATATATATATATATATATATATATATATATATATATATATATATATATATATATATATATATATATATCATAGAATGGTCAAGAGATTAAAACATTAGCATTACGACTATATGACCCGGGTTCGAATTTAACCATATTTCATTTATCGAGGAAGTAATATATTGATAATTTCAGCCTAGTGAACCGATGCAGACGTGCTGCACGCAACATATGTATAGAGTGGTGCCAATGGCATGATACCAAAATTGCGCCTCTATCCAAACATCGCATTCCTTACCAAAGTGAAAAGTATACTAGTTTTAAAAAATGCAATTTAATACTATTAATATATATAATAAATTATAGATATTCAAGAAGACTGTCTATTAGTTATATTTTATTTGAAGGAAAATTAGATTTTGACAATATAAAGTTACCACGAAAGTGTTGGGAAAGTGTTGAGGGTTGTGCTAGCGCGAAGTTGCAAATTATCGTGACGGAGGCTTAGAACGTACTGGTCTTGTTCAAACAGTTTTCTCCTAGAAACGCTAACTAATATCCGTTCAGCATGGTTGCAGTATACAGCACAGGTGGACTCTGTGCGTGTTGAAGAAACACAAATTTGTCAGATCAGACGTCTGCAACAAGGATTGGATAACTTTCTTGGATGACAGACAAACCCGGAAACTAGCGACTAGCTAATATATATATAAAACAACAACAGAAAAAGTAGTATTACGCTCAGATATAAATGGATTAAATTATTTATGCCACTATATAGTTAGTCTAGTTGTTTTTTTTAGTTGTTTTTACGAAAGTGGTCGCAATTTTCGGAATTAGAGGAAAGCATTTTTGTAATGTTTATTTTGTTTATCTTTGACTAGTGGCTCATTATCGCCGATTTTTTTATTATCTATTATTAATTATATTCAAAGATACTTTAACAGAATTTAGTATGAATTCTTTACATTTTCTTATTTATTTATTGTAAAGTAACGTAATTTCAATTTTATTGAAAACGCGTTTACAGTTATAACGTTATTTTGTTTCGTTTTTACTATTAGACAATTTGTTTTATTATTTATCTTTCAAATTTTTAAACAACAATTATAATAATAATAGTAAAATTTTCTCATATACTTTATAATAATTTATACTTTGTAGCAATATATTGCACATTGATGAAGAACTGCTTTCTCCGACATCCAGTGTATGTTCTACGCATGTAGATGGCAGTGAGTAGAAGTAGTACCTTTGTTACTCGGCTGCTGCACATATTGTTAAGATGGATGGGCAACATTGATCTTCTATTACCCCTAAATCTCCATGCATCAAACCCTGTAAACCGTTTCAGTAGGCGGGCTAAATCGCGTGAAATTACCCTCGGAAGGCGCTGCACTCTTCTGTGTATTGGCAGTATCGAAGAGGTATAACTCCGTTATAATTAAAACTGAGGGGTGTTGTTCATTGTGTTCGTGGCAAATATTTGCACCAACTCCTTGTTATCAACATTTCCAATGAGTGTGGCTGGTTCTATACAAGACTTCAACATTCTAAATAAATCTTTTGTATGGATAGTCTTCACTTCAGTTCTGTGTTCTTTATTTGCTACATGCCCCCTGGCGAAAGAGTTAAGGCGATGGGTACTGGTACAGGATTAAAAACTGAATTGAAAGACACTCATACGTCGAAAACAACAGGACAGTCCATCATATATATATATATATATATATATATATATATATATATATATATATATATATATATATATATACACCACACACACACACACACACACACACATATATATATATATATATATATATATATATAATAGAAGATACAGGTCATAAAAAAGATAAGAACGAAGACTTCGTTCCGTCGCCGTTTCTCTGGCCAATCCTAATTCTTTTATTACCCCTTAAGCAGAAGAATACTTTTGCTTTTTAACTTGGATTTGTTTGTTGATTTTCTCTCCACAGAAATGACAGTTTTTCAAGCAAGAGCAAATTATTTGTTGGCAGCAGCAGCCTTGGTGTGTCTAATATTTTCCTGGGTGTATTAAACTTGTTAAAGACGCATTCCAAAACCTAGGCAGAGTATTGTGAGACGGGATGATTTCTTTGGTAACAAAGAAAAGAGTACTGAGCTGCTACGCCAGTGAATGTTGGACAGTCTTTTCAAAGATGAAGAAAAAACTCGTGCTCAGGATAACATGGACCGTGCGTGTGAGCAACGATGAGGTTTTGAAAAGGATGCAAACAAGAAGAAAGCTTATAGTTAACATCAGGAAGAGGCAGCTGAAATCTCTGGGACACGCAATAAGAAAGAGGGGCTTGGAGAATCTGATACTCACAGGTGGAATAGCAGGAAAAAGAGACAAGGGAAGGCAACGCATAACATACCTGACGGGCTTAAGCAAGTGGATGCCAGAATATGGGAAAAGTAGCAAATGGTCGAAACTTATTGAGAGCTACAAGGGATAGGGGGAAGTGAAGGGCTATGATCGCCTACGCCCTGAATGAACATAAAAAGATCTTCATAAATGTTCTTGAGTTTAGTGAGCGCCTCATTGAAGTTTTGGATAAATTTAAGGGATGGATTTGAATTTCTTATGGCGGCTTTTTCTTTTACATCAATGACTTAATGTTATTTGATTCCCAAGGAATGTGTTACTGATACTTAGTTTTTAAGGGTATGACATCTGTTGCAGCTTTTTCGTGAGAAGTGATAAAATTATTGTAGTTTGTATTAAGAGATGGTTCCTCGGCATCTGCTTGTAGTGTTTCAAATTTATTCCTGACAGTAATGGTGTACTGGTCTTTGAAGTGACTGTTTGTTGTTAGAAGAGACCAGTCATGCGGTGGAAAGGCAGGCTGAATTTTCTTTTATTATCTAAGTCAGACGGTGGAAGAGAATCCGATGGTCTGTAGATACTCATACAAATGTGTTGAAAGCTTGGCAATTTACATACTATTCATTAATTAGCTATTAAGAATTTCATCATCTGGCAGCATTCGACGCCAACAGATTGACGATGTCGAATGTTGTCAGTGACAGTGTTTTTGTTGACCTCGATGTCGGGCGGTTAATTTGCGTCAGTAAGGAAGGTGCAGTTTTGGGCTTAACCTGCAGCTTCCATAGTTCTTTCTTTCAACTTCGCGACTCTCAGAGCTATTAACATAACGTTTTAAAACACATCATCATTATTGTGCAATTGTGCTTTCATAATTTTTCAAGAAAAACTTTTAAAAATTATTAAAAAAAGTCCGTCTTATCCTAGGGTATTTTATTTCTATCAAAAGGCTAAAAGATGATTGTGTCGTGTTAGTGTGTGTTAAAAGATTGTTTTCTTGTGGCACCATTATATCGTATTGCTTTTGCTCAATTTAAAAATATAAAAGACAATTAAAGCATGTTTTTCTGCACTCTGAGGTAATGTATGTTTTCTTTTCTTTTTTCTTTCTTCTATCTATCTATCTATCTATCTATCTATCTATCTATCTATCTATCTATCTATCTCAGTTAATTAATTTCTCTGTATATATATATATATATATATAAATATATATATATTCATATATTCCTTATCTATTCAGTCCATTTCTGTATATATATATATATATATATATATATATATATATATATATATATATATATATAAAAAAAATCTGTTCGTAGATATTTTCAATATTTTCCTATCTATCTCAATCTATTCACATCTATCTATCTATGATAATTGCTAAGGGACATTGTAAAGCAGCAAGTTACCTACCTGACAAGCAAATGAATAGCAAAACAAGGGATAATAAAAAAACAATACAAAGATTTAAAAGTGTTAAAAAGGATAGGAAGAGAGCCATGTCTGCCCACTTCCTGTGGGAACACGACACATAAAAGACGTATAGAAGATTTATTAAAAATCAAAGTTATCCTAAGATGGTAAATGTCCGTACGTTTAGACTTCTCATTAACTTCTATACAAATATCGGACAAGCCTTGCAAGCCGCCGAATGAGTGTTTGGTCTTTGTTTACTGTTCTGCGAAGAAAAATGCCTGCCAAAACAGGACTCGTCCAACAGATACTTGCTTTAAATTTTACTACTTGGCCTGGGTCTATCCATTGACGCTAGTAATCGGTGTTCAAACTTAAGAAAAACAGTTTTTTCAAGTCCAGTAGCTGGGTTTGGCGCCATGCATAGAGTTCATGAGAAAGATTCGATCTGATGAAGCTATTTAAGAACATGACTCGAATTTTCAGGTTGATTCTGTTTTGAGGCAATTTTTGCGGTTTTGGGCGAAATTTTAATATGGAAAAAAATAAGAAAAAAATGTGGTTACGTAGAAAATCTGGTGTAAGTTTTTAACAGGGATTTATTTAACCCCATTCTTTTTTGAAAAAAAAATTCTGATCATTCCCAACCACTCCTTAAGAGGGAATGATAACAGTAAGATGCTGTAAAATCTTGTGAGAACTGCAGAGGTAGCAAAAAAACACGTTTGGTTAACAAGCCAAACCCACATATTTAGTACCATTTACATTTATTTATTCCTCAGAGATTTATAGACTGTTTGGTATTTGACATATGTAATAACATGGTTTTTACTTGTTAATTACTCGCCCCAACCCTACTAGTACAAAGCTTTTTTTCTTAAATGTGTGGCGCTCATATGCGGACACATGGATCGTTTCTGTAACCACCGTCTCGCTGGCATCGTTATTCCACTAGCACACCCTCTTTTGTACAATGAAGGAGGTGCTGCCTCAGGATTGGAATCCCCGGGACCAGTGTTCCTGATTTATTGTGAGCTTTCCCAAAACAGAAAAACAATTCCCACCTAGATGGTGGCAAATTTGCGACATGTTTCATACTTAGAATGTGGCACAAAGCCGGCACCGCCCCCTCCATCCCGAGTGAGAACTGATTCTCATTACTCACTCAGATATAGCGAGACGAGCTTGCTACTCAATAGTTCTTACTTATATCTTTCTTATATCTTATATCTAAAAGACACATGTCCATCCCATAATAGCTATTACATATGCATATTTTTCTCTTGATTTTTGGTAACGCATATTAACGCTTATATTTACATGTTAACGTGACAACTACGTATTACTAAGTTTAAAATTGACAATAGCAATTGGGAAAAATAAGGCAAATATTTGAAAACTGGCATTTTCTAAATTGTTCTCATCTTTATATGTTTAGCAGGCAATATGATATGGTCAAATAGAAGTAATTCAAATAATAATTTTAGGCAAATGAATAAAGAATTAAAGAGATTAATGAAAAATAAAGGAAAAATTAAAGAAATTAAAAACAAAATGAATAAAGATTATTTAAAGAAATTAAAAAATAAAAAAAAGAAGAAAGAAATTAAAGAAAATATATCCAGATAAAAAAAATAAAAATAAAAGAATAAATAAAGAAATTAAGCAATAAATTAAAGAATATAAAATTAAATCAATTAAAGAAATCAATAAAAAATGAAATTAATGTAAATAAATAAATAAATTGACAAACTTGGACCCTTTTGCTCTCAAACAAACGGAGTGTCAAAAGGATGATTTTTTCCCATGACACCGCTATTATTTTAACTACCTTCACTCCGCGGTAATGTTTCTTGTAATAAAACCTAAACATTTGATGGAAGTGATGTTATATACTTATTTTTTGTTCTTGGGAATTCACAAATATTAATCATTATTTATATCTTAGATTATTTACAAGAATAATTTTATATTTACAACATGCTAAAAACTAATACAATTCTATTAAAACTAATGTCATGCAATATTTTCATTTACCAGTTTATAAAGAAATAAATATGAAAACAATTTTTTATTCATAAATTTATAAACATTTACTAAGTTATTAAAATATATGAACCAACTATAAAGAAATTCTTATTATTAACCATTTTATAAAGTTCGAATCATTTGGTAATAAAGCTGATGCTTTGTCAACCATTCCAATAAACATTATAATAAATAGTGTAAATAAATAATCGTATAATAGTGTTTATTATTTTGTTATCAATAAAACAAAGAAAATGTGTAAATTAACTTGAATATGTTTGGGATTTATTAAAATTCTACATCGCTTTTTAAATCAAAAAACATTGTCGAGGGGTGAAGGTAGTTGAAATAATAACAGTGTCAAAGGAGAACAAAAATTAAATAAATAAAGAAATTGAAGTAAATAAACGAATAAGGTAAATAAAGAAACTTTAGGCAAATAAAAATAAAGAAAAACAGTCGTGAAAATCTAAGTATAAACAATATTAAGTGTTACTGACTCTGTTTTAAATGTCAATAAAAATAGATATAAATTAACCTATTTCAATGTTTCTCAAAATTAATATTTCCAAGCACTGAATTAATAAAATGTTTCATTTTCATTCTAATTGATTTTAACATTTTAGTTTTTATTTACAGGTGTACCGCCCCAGAAAGTACCTGGCTTCTGCATTGCATTATCTTTACAATAGTCAGATTACACCAAAAGTTGAGTATCGCTGCTATATCTGGTTTGGAGATTCCTAATCCTCACTTTCTAGGCTTGATACAGTACAAGTCAGTCAGTTATGTGCCATGCGTAGTACACGCTTAGGCGATCATGTATCTTTCGATTCATGACTGACGAGGCAGATTTTTTCCCGCAGTAGGATGCCATTTCTTTCTGTGGTAGAGCAGTTGTCATCCAAGGCTACAGAAATCGATCTGTCCTACTTACTCATAGCTGGATAGGGAAGAAGGATCATACCTTTCTCAAGGGTATTAGCACGTAAGTGTATATCATTCAGTTATGTGCTATACGTGATACACGCTTAGGAGATCATGTAACTTTGGATTCATGAATGACGAGTCAGATTTTTTCCCGAAGTAGGTTGCCATTTCTTTCTGCGGTAGACCAGTTGCCATCCAAAGCTATAGAACCTGGCCTGTCCTGCTATATACCCATAGCTGGTGGGGGAGAAGTGGTTTCATACCTTTCCCAAGTGAATGTAATGGATTCGACTGAAGTTCGAAATCGGCTCTCCAATTATTTCAATCCGAGCTGCTATCCATTACTCCACCGTGCCTCCAAGGTCGTCTAGAAAGGCTTATTTTCCATTTTGAAACCTCTTTGACACAGACACAACGTCATTTGCCTATCATTATTACCGTGGAAAATATCCGGATGAGCTGTACATTTTAGTTCTACGAATTCAGGCATTTATAGATAGGTTCACGAAGTCAGGTCACCTTCGTTTCCCCTGTATTCCAGTTGTCGGAGAAAGTCAGACTCGGACAGCATTTTACCTAATAATTGTTTCTTTGTGGAACGGAATCCTGCCTGGATGTTTATCTGAACACAACAAGCTTAACCTCTGTAAGTCTAGGGTCAGTCGTTATGTAGCTTTCACATTGTGATAATCTTAAATCATTACTCTTTTCTCTTTCATTCATTTCACGCCGACGGTCAAATCACCGGTTCCAATCACCTGGAGGAGCATCGATTCTGATAAGTACTTAAGTTGGTTACCGCTTGGGAATAGCGGGTACTGTAAGCAACTTTCTACAATGAGATATATGTTTCAGTTTTAAGTAACCCACAAAAAAGGTTTGCAAGCCGTAAAAAAAAAAATACAAATTAATCCTTCATATCACACACATTATTCAGAAAGCCCCTATCTTAAGTGTATTCGTATTGAGTGAACTTTAGTAATATATTTTAAGACAAATTTCATACAGTAAATTTAACAATTATTATAGTTCAGAAGTTGTAGTTGATATGAATCGTCAAGACGTGGGGGTTGCAAATGACATTAAACATGTATTTTCCGATTGCGCGATGATTGTCTTCAATTAAAGGTAATAAATATCTCGACGCATTACATTTGGATGTCTAAAACGAGGCTTTAATGTAATTCCGCAAGAGGAAACCAAATGGTGTTTAATCAGGTGTTGAATCGCCGCCTCTTCGCTCGGTTCATTTACCTAAAAATATTTTAGTGAGCTACGTTTCACAGTCGTGTTAGAATGTGAAGCGTTCTAATTTGTAGAAAAATATGGTTTCATCTGACCATAAAATGTTACTTCCTCGATAAACGAAATATGGTTAAATTCGGACTCGGGTCATATAGACGTAACGCTAATGTTTTAATCTCTCTACCATATATATATATATATATATATATATATATATATATATATATATATATATATGTGTGTGTGTGTGTGTGTGTGTGGGGGGTGAGTGTTTGTGTGTGTGGTGTTTTGTTATTCCATTATTTAATATTTTATATTAAAATTGTTATGTCACACCAAGTTCGCACTGCTCTTGCAAGATAAGCCATGTTATTTGCGAATCCATGAAAGTTGTCTTGACTCATTGTTTACACAAGCTTACCCCAATTCATTCAAGTTCTTCATTCTAGATTTCACTTAACAGTTTTTTCCAGCAGTGTAGAATTGTCTTCGATTCTTAGATTCGGTATATGCTCCTGCACTCCAATTGACGTTATGTTATCTTTAAGCTTCTGAGTTATTAAGTTTAAATAAAGTTTACGGTAAATGGCCATCTAGACTAGGTTACATTTGTCATTCGTGTACATTTGTCGCTAGTCTGTCTTCAACGTTTAACGTGTGTAGTAGTGAGTTAACTGAGATGTGTTCCGATATGTTTATGAGGATTTTGTCATTGTTTAATGTGAGGAACCCGGCCCCAAAATTTGTAAAATTATTTTTGATACACCCTGTATATGTGTGTGTGTCTAAGTGTTATTATATAAAAGATCGTATCATTTTCTTTATTTGGAGCTTTTTCGTCAGTACTCCACAGTATCGTGCCAGTCAATTTTTCTCGCCAGAATCCAACATGCACATTTATAAATCGGCCATTCGTCCGTGCATTGAATATTACTGCCATATCTGGTCTGGCTTTACGATTAAATATCTCTAGATTCTCGACAAAAACCAAAGAATGGTCTGTAAATTCGGTTCTAACCTGACATCTCGATTTCAGTCATTTTCTCATTACCGTGATGTGGCTTCCTCTGTCTTTTTTATAAATATTTTCGTGGTGTAATAGTTAGCAAGCTTGTCTCGTTAGATAAGTTACGACTGAAAAGTGAGTTCGATCCTCACTAGGTATCCGATAATTTCGGCCTTGTGCCACATCTAAGCTGCGCTGAACGATTATGAGGGCTTCAGTTGCACTATGATCTTTCCTTCACGTTAACTTAGCTAGGGGATGTATTGGCCCCTTTTATTTCTTCCACCCTTTTTCTTTAGTTTAATTCCCCATCCCAACGCTCGTTAGGGGGTCAGTGATGTCAGTAATAGGGTGAATGTGGGGCGCCTTTCGTTTTGAGTGTGACTTTCGCATTTCTTGTGTTTTGAATGAGTGTGATTTTGAGTGAGTGCTTTGGATGAATGAATGTTTTATATTAATAGAATTCCGCATTGATTTCGTCCAGTTAACTGATGTCTCTGTTATATTTAAAGATTGTGGTTTTTTATTACTAACATTATTTTGCTTGGTTTCTTGTAAATAGTTTTCATATTGTAAATACACATTGGGGCCAGATTTTAAATTGTTGGTTTATCCCGACCCCTTGGACAATAAATTGTACATATGGGGACGAGTTACAACTTTATGGAGTTTCAACGGTATTGTGGTGGATGAAGTAAGAAAGGTAAGTAAGAATGCGTTGTTTTGGTGTAAGCAATATTGTAGTATGTTTGGGTCAGTGTTTGTGGCTAGCTAAGTTTAATGCTAAAACAGAAGAAGACTGTCCTTTTCCCTATTCCCCATTTTGGGCTTGTGCCACATTTTCTGTCATTATGCAAATAAATATAGCTCTCCTTTTTAGTACCTCGACTGTATGAATTTAAGCGTACTACTTGATTAGTTATAAGGTCTCATCCCTTTACTGATGATATAGCTAGATGTAACCATAATGTATATTCTAATCGTATGTTTTCTAACACTTCTCGCCTGTGGAATCTCTTCCAATTTTTTCCTTCACTGCCATCTATGTTCTTGAAAAATTTAAATGCAATGCCAATCACAATCTTTTTTCCTCACTAAAGTCTTCAAATTTTGTTTCAAACCTTGTATCCCCTGCGTGTTAGTGGCATTATCACCTTGCAAAAAGTAGACCAGCTAAATAAGCGCATAAATAAAGTGAATACTGTCGTGATTCTGAGCTGGATAGTTAAGTGGCGTATTCACTAGGCCACCGTTCAGCTATTTGAGAAGAGATCATAATTAAACGTGAAATAATGTTAAGAATCTTACTTATTATAAAACCCAGGTTGTGTGTGCGTGTGCGTGTGTGTGTTCGTTTATATATGGGATCAGATTTCCTACATTTTTCAACCGATTTGAACTAAACTTCACAGGACTACGTAAAATTACCCGGCGATAGTTCTGAGAGCGCCAAAAATTGGAAAAACACAATTGTTTTTGCACGAAATCAATTTGAAAGCACGGGTAAGGGCCATTTATCATTTTTTTTTGTAACTTCCTTACACACACACAGCTGCGTACAACCGAGTCCGCGTGTCGATAACGAGGCTGTTGCAAGCCCATTGGTCGCTTTCATAGAGCTTGACCTTGGGGTCTGTCCAATCATCGCGCAGGATTTCTCACACGTTATAGCGTCTGCGTGATCGGACGTCAGCTTATGTGTAAGTGCGCTCAAGGTCAACCATCTTTATTGCGTGACAGGGGCGTGTTTCACACTTTTGCGTTTATTGTTGCCCGCGTGCACGCACTTGGCTTACTTTATTCGCCTACTTCGGACACCGCATGTTGTTGATTACATGTTCTAGATGCGTTTTTGTTTTATAGTTCCAACCCAACCCCACACACGTTAGCCAATTGTGCTAAAACCCCATTTCTTTTTGGATTTACCCTTGGTTTACTATTGTAATTTTCCACTTTTTTAGTTTCGAGTTCTCCTTTAGTAACATCTGAACTCATTTTACTGGGTGTTCCCCTTTTTGTGTCTACGTTAGCAGTGCACGTTTTTTCGTTTTGGATTTGTCGAAATCTCTTTTTAAGCTTTACCCTCTTTGACGTTTTTACTGTTTGGATGCCACCTAAAAGGAGGAAACTTTTGGGACGGCGCACGGCAGCTGCCTCCGCGGCTAGAGCAGCGAGGGAGAGTGAAACCCCTGAATATACTTCGTTGCGTCTTTCACGGATGGCCTCGAGCTTTATTGGGATTTATTGATATGTCATAATAAATGCCCCAACATACGTGGCAGCAAGTGTTTGTCCGCTTGTTATCATGAGGAAGAATGTACGTCTTACCTTAAGTCCAAGCATCGAGTTGGTGGTGGTGGTGGGGGGATCAACGGCCAATCTTCCGCCCCCACCAAATAGTGGGCTTGGGAGACATACTTTCAATAAAATTAAGAACAACAGGAGAAAGAAACGGCGAAAACAATTCCATGTTCAGACATTTTATCAAGCAAGAAATTTCGGCCAACTAAATCATGAGAATACTGACGAGACACTTTCGCATCTAGCCAAAGACATTCAATTTTCCTTTTTATGATTTTTCTTTCGAACCGGGATTTATATATATATATATATTAAGACATGTTTATGTTTATACATTCTTTTTATAGATACAAATATTTAAGTAAATGCTACAATCTTCCATGAATCTCTCATGTACATTCATATCTTCTCTAAGCTTTTCCAAATGTAAACAAATGACGTCACACATTATGAAATAGACAAAGTCCGACAATTATTTTAAGACATTTGTATCTGTAAAAAGAATATATAAACATAAAATATGTCTTAAAATAATTGTCCATTTCATAATGTGTGATATATATATATATATATATATATATATATATATATATATATATATATATATAGTAGTAATTTGGAAGACTGATTTTGAAGCCAAAGTTGCTGACTTTCTAGTGTTTTATTTATAAATACAATTAAGGCAAGCAGACTTTGTGGTAAAGTGCTCAATATCGAAGATAAAGATCGAACATTCATATAATTAAAAAAAAAAATTCGCTTAACTCATGTTTACTTCAAACTTCCGTAGTTACATAAATGCAACTATTCATCAGAAGAGTCAAACAGTTTGACACTGTTCTGAAGAGTAGTTGTATCTCTGTAACTACTAAACTTTGAAGTAAACATAAGTGAATTTTTTATTAATTTTACACACACACACACGCACGCACACACACACACACACACACACACACACACATATATATATATATATATATATATATATATATATATATATAGGTAAGTTGGTTTTGATGTAGTAGTAATCCTGACTTGATATTACTTGTTAAAATAATTACTCCGTTGCTATATGTATTTTTAATGTATGAAGAATCCTTTTCTCTTTTATATCGAAAACAAAATGAAATAAAATGTGTAACAATAATATAAAAGAAGAAAAACTTGAGAGACATATTGACATAATTAGCAAGAATATTTTTTTTCTTTTTGTGACGTGAATTACATGATATTGGTTTGGTGTGTGTAAAAATGTTCTCAGTGTCTCTTTTGATTAAAATTCAGTGCTTACTTGGTTTGGTTCGGAAATTTCGTTTGTGAGGATGGCGTTTGACATGGTTTTGTTTCTAGAATTTTGTTTGTGAGGGTGACGTTTGACATCGTCTGTTTTCGATCTTCATGGAATGCTGGCAAAGACGTACTACGACTACTTGTCTACTGGTCTACTATGGATACCCTAGTCTAATCTGCTGTTCTTGTGGGGGAAGGGCCGTTTTTATAGTGATGAAGGGAGGATGATGAAATATCATTCTTTTGTATCATCACTGATGACAGTTATTTTTAGAATTATGAAATGTCCTTAATTTTTTTATCATCACTGATGGCAAGGTGATTTTCAGAATGATGGAATACCATAATTCAGGACCATAACATATATATGTATTTATGCGTATCTGTGTGCGTGTGTACAAGGAAATAAATAAGTTAAAATAAAAATGTATATATGTGCAGATAAATCAAAACACTTTGGAAGACTCAATAAAAATTAAGTCTTGAATATGACACACTCGACGAGAAAAAAGAAAAAAAATGCCTCTGCAAAATGTCCTCCGGTTATCGCATTCCTACCCAGTAAACTAAAACATTCGCTATTAACAATTCTAGTTCATGTCAAGTGGATTTTGAATTGAGGTTGTATAAAATTTCTTGACACAGAAAAACAGTCTGAAAGTAACGCCTGGTAGGCAAGGACTACGTGTTGAGATTCAAAAGATGATAGTATTTATTTTATGTGTGTGTGAATTGGTTTAAATTGAAGTCGAGGAAGACAGAACGACACGTGAAATAAAGACAAGACGTGGTTATGTTTTGAACGCCATAATGTGCCTTGATTTACATTAAATAATGTTTTCTTTTATATGGTACGATCGATACATGTCTATACACAGACAATAATATTATTGTGTTTATTTATGCAGTTTTGTTAGTCTGGCATATCTATCTATCTCACATGGATGAGGGCTCTCAATATTTGATGCTTCACAATCGTAATGGATGGTTAGGCTAGCTCTTACTAAACATTATAAAAAGGGTGAATAAAATATCCTTCTCCCTCTCTGTCTCTCTATCTAAGCCTGTACACACATCTATCTATCTATCTATCTATCTATCTATCTATCTATCTATCTATCTATCTTATGCTGTCCATTATCGATCAATCTATTTATCAAAGATAGATTCAAATAATATATATATATATATATATAAGCAAGTGTAAATGGATATAAATCCGACAGAATGAAGAAATTTTGAAAAAACAAACAAAAATCCTTAAATGTAGTTAAATGAAAGAAATGTCGACGTCTGACGTTTCGGTTTATTAAACCTTTCAAGACAATATTCATCAAAATACAATTCAGTTCAATATGACAAATACGATGGACATAAAACACAAGTCTTATTCGAACAGATAACTGAAAATTTTTAAAATGATCAGCCTTCCGTCTAACATGGTCATCTGTCGTCACATGAATGCTATTCCTGAAAGTTTGTGATTATTTTGAAATGAAAGCAAAAAAAGAAAATGAAAAGAATTCTATTAGGTTCTAAAATTTTATGATATTTGCTTATCGAGCATCAATCTCGATAAAAAATAAATATTAAAGAAACCAGGTCTAGTATTCACCGTGCGTAGAGATGGATATTATACCTACTTCTTATTTCCTCCTGAGATTTTATTATTGAAAATATTTAATACTTTCACGGAATCGAAATCAAATTATGATCTGCTGTTCTTATCCTCAATATGTTCAATTTAAATATTTGATGAACAGGGACGAATATCTCCCCTTTATGTTCGAAAACACGAGATTTTAAAATGACCTACCTGTTTTTTACCCATATATATTTTAGGTCACAATTTTTTGCATGATATTTGATTTAGATATGCAAGCATCGGATGTATATCTGGTTGAAATATTATCTGCTGGTGCTATTTAATGGAAACTACGGATAGTCCTAGTATAAAGAGAGGACGAGTAAACCAAATTTTTGTTTAATTTTAATATTTTAGATTATGAAATGGGCTAATGACAAATGGTTATTTGGTAAAAAATGCGACCAAACGAAATTATTATATAAAGATTTGATGTAAAATTGTAATTTGTTATCTCTTTCATTGATCTTTTTATATGTATTTTTCCCAGAATTTGGGTGTCATTTTGCGCTACCTATGAGTGAATTTTCAATGATTTATTTTAAGCTCTATGTAATTTTGTCTCGGATACGAAAGTCATTTGAAAAAAGAAATCCTCAACATATATATTAAATTCATCATTTTGTTATATTTTTCATGAACAGATGCCAACATTTTCTGGTTTCAAATAGAATCCAATAACAATACCCCTCTTATCAGTGTTAGTATCATGGTGAGGATTTATGTAAATAGTCATTTTTCCATGTATTTGTGATATACTTTGAATTCTAATTTATTTTTATTTTTTTGTCAGTTTTGCTAATATTTTGGTCTTTATGTCTATTTTCAACTTATTTAAAAGGAATTAATCTCCAAAATTCAAGTTCAGATAAATATTCAATAGTAGGTTCTATTTTTTAATCTATCAGTGTTTCGTTTAAATCATGTTTTGGGTAGATAAAAAAATGTCATCAATTTTAGTTCACGTCCTAGAAAGTAATTTGTATCCATTATGGAATGACATCTTTAAAAAGTTTATATCAAGAAATTCTAGAAATGATGCATGTTCGACCCATCATTAAGAAATTTTTTTTATAATAAATATTATTATATTGGAAAAACAATGTGATGTTATAAAAAAATGCATTTAATTTTTTCAGTAGATGTAAATTCTTAAGTAAAAAAAGTCAAAAAACCTTAATGTGGTTCTCTAATTGTTTTAATGCATTTATCAAAAGGTTTATTAGTATTAAATATTTGATGTCTAAAAACACAGTCTTATTCAGTAATTTGTTATCTATATCAACTTTCTCAACTTATTTAAAGAAAACTTATTTCTTTATATGTGCGTTAAAGAAAAGAAAATGAAAGAATTGGAACAAAAATTTTGTTAAATACCTAGCGATATTGAGATGGATAAAAAGAGCCTATAAATCCTCCTGAGATGATGGGCCTTAATGGAATACTGTTAAATCTTATGGGTTTTGGGGAAAGCATAAAAATTTTAGGGACAGTCAAATTTGTAGTTAATAAAAAGCCAAATCTTATCTTCATTATTTTTATGAGTTTCTTATAGGACCTATTAAATTCTTTTAGATTCTTAGTCCTTTGTATATAAGTAGTTCTGTTCATAAAGTTATTTGGTAAAAGATGCGACCAAACTTTAAGCAGCTGAAATTGTATCTTCATTGATATTACACCTTTGAGGTGTCATTTTGCCTTTGATCAACGAATTTTTAGCTCTCTATAATAATTTATTATTCATACGAAAAGATTTGAAAAAGGATTTTAAAGGCATTTCAGCTACCTCCTGATATACCTCTTTGGTCGCATCTTTTTAAAATAACCATTTTCTCATAATAAATGCATTAAAATTTGTGAAAACCTTATTACCATCTATCCGTAGTTTAAAATATGTATTTATTTTATATTTATTTGTTTGCTAATACAGGTGGTCTTTTTTCGAACCACATGTCAAAAGCAGACCAAAACTCATAAGGGCTTTCGATTCCAAAAGTGCTGAAATATTTTCATTTTGGAAAAAATCAGGAGGATTCTACCCATATTCTTCCATAACGATCACGCACGGTGAATACTAGAATTTTAAGATTAAACTCCTTTGTGTTTTGATTAATTCTGGTCAAGTTTTAGAACCTCTCCGAATTTTTCATTTTCATTTTGTTTTTCAATTTTCAGGAATACGTCCTAAAGCGTCGCCCATGTGGCTTTTAAAAGACCATGTTCCTCGAAGGCTTTAAATTTTTAAAAATTTTAGTTATCTGTTCGGGTAAAGTTTGATTTAGTCCATCGTTGAATTGTGATTTGATGAATTTGTCTTTGAAAAAGGTTTAATAAACCGAAACGTCGAACGTCGACATTTCTTTCATTTAACTACATTTAAGGATTTTTGTTTGTTTTTCAATTCTGTCGGATTTATATCCATTTTCGGATATATACTGTCTACTGAAAATACAAACCTATTTTTTACAACATATAAGATTACAATGCAAATTAATTTCCGCGGATATAGACCAAATTCATCTTATACTAATCAAACTTTACGGAATCATCAGTAAAAGATTAAATTAAACAAAACCTTTCGAAGCCACACTTCTACGTTCTTCTCGCATCACAAAATCAAAGTGACCAATTAATTCAAAACACATCAGGAGTTTAAAAAATCTCCATTTTTATGCTTGATCTTCAGCTGTTGGAAAATATGGGTTTACGGATTGTTTTCAAAAACCACACTTTCATATGAAGCCCTGTTTGGATATAAATGCAACCCACAATATTAGAAAAAATTTTAAATATAAACTAAACAAAAAAAGGTTTACACAAGGCCTGCCTTTTTAATGGCCAAAATATGGATTCCAATGAAAGAATTTTTCCTTTATGAATAATACGTCTGACCTTTGATAAAGGAGGCTGTGTTGTTTCATATACCATTATTTAAACCAGAAAATGTTGGATTGCTTAATATGAACAGATCACAATTCAAGAATCTCAATATGTTGTCTCATATGTATTTAAATAAGATTTGGTCTTTGGACATAAAATTTAAAAACCCATAAGCAAGTCTTATTTTAACAAAATTTTTAACTCCAATTTGGGCACCGTAATAACATTTGCAAATAAAATTTTCAGGCTCTCTTTTTAATAAGTTGAGAAATATTGTTAGATAACAAATTCTAACATGACATCAATCATACTAATATACCTTTTGATAAATGCATTTTTAGAGAACCAAACTTAAAATATTCCTATCTCGAAAATCAAATTATGCATTGTTTACCTATAATTGAAATAATAATAAAGATAAACAAAATTTGGTTTACCGATGGGGAGTCCTCTCTGGTTCCTGGTTCTAAAAATTCTTGAATCTGGACCTTTCTCTCGCTTTCGAAAATAAAACATTTTAAAATCTAACCACCTTTAACCGATTACTGATAGATTAAAATAGAATAGAACCTACTATTGAATTTACCTATGAACTTGAATCTATAAATTACCTTTTAGACATTCATTAAAAAAATAAATTAGAATATCCTTATCTAAAACTATTTACATTTTACTCTCACACACAATCGAGATCTAAGATCTTATCTCTATTTGAGGCCTCTTTAGTTGTTCATCCATAAAGCATTTTTAAATACCGCGTATCCGAGATATCTCGTTTATCAGTTTAAAAACACAAATAGATCAATGAAAGATACAATTTCAGCTTTCAAACCCAAATAACCATTTGATGATATTTTAAAAATGCATTAAAAATTAGAACTACTATATTTTACATAGACTATCCGTGTTTTATTAAATAGCACCAGCAGACAAATATATTACATCCGATGCTTGCATATAAATATCATGCAAAAATTGTGACCTAAAATATGTGGGTGAAACAGGTAGATCTTTAAAATCTCGTGTTTTTAATGAACTGAACATAAACGAGATATTCGTCTCGGTAATTTTAACAATGCTTTAGTTGTACACACAACTAAAAGCAGATCATAATTTTAATTTCGATTCCGTGAAAGTATTAAAATATTTTCTCTAAAATCTCAGGAGGATTTCGAAGCAGGTATAATATCCATCTCACGCACGGTGAATACTAGACCTGGTTTCTTTAATATTTCCCTTTTTAGCGAGATTGATGCTCGACAAGCACACACAAGATTTTAGAACCTAATAGAATTCTTTTCATTTTTCTTTTCTTTTTTCATTTCAAAATAATCACAAACTTTCAGGAATACGTTATGAAAGCGTCGCCCATGTGACGACAGCGTGACCATGTTAGACGGAAGGCTGATCATTTTAAAAATTTTCAGTTATCTGTTCGAATAAGACTTGTGTTTTTATGTCCATCGTATTTGTCATATTGAACTGAATTGTATTTTGATGAATATTGTCTTGAAAAAAGTTTAATAAACCGAAACGTCAGACGTCGACATTTCTTTCATTTAACTACATTTAAGGATTTTTGTTTGTTTTTTTCAAAATTTCTTCAT